TCATGATGATCGAGAAGCAATCGGTCGTGAAGAACGAATGGCCGCAGAGAGCACAGCTACAGTCAGAAGATTGACAAAGGTATCAGGAAGCAGACTTGGTTTGACGTTATTGTCAGCTTTTGGTTTTGCAGTTGAATCTGCAGGTCAGCAAGAAGGAGATTTTGTAGCACGAAGATATTTTTGCATGCAGTTGATGAGTTTTGTGTTTGGTCCGTTTTCTACAGCTCAAGAGCCACCTCAAGAACTTCAAGAAGTTGAACAAGAAGTTTTACATGGTCAAAGCAGCAACAGCAGCATGAAGTTTTCACACGTTTTCACGAGCATGCCTGAGCTTGAGATGTTCGTGCCCGTGTGCATGGCTGTGATTGTTGTTCTGGTGACGATCATTGTCTACTTGGCAGTGAACCAGAAGAAAGAGAAGAAGGGTGAGAAAGAAGAGAAGCCCAAAGAAGAGAAGCCTGAAGGTGAAGTCACAAAGAAGAAAGAAGAAGAAGACAAAGAGAAGAGCTCGCAAGGTGTCCTCGAAGACGACGAGACCGTGAAGATGAAGTTCGACGAGCTGATCGCGAAGATGGAGAAGCAAGAACGTGCCTTGGAGAAAGAAAGGTTGAAGAGAGAAGAAGCAGAAGAAAAGGCGAAGGAAGCAGAAGAAGATCGTGATCAAGCATTTGCTTTGAAGGCGAAGGTGGTTGCGAAGTACAGTGAAGCCGAAGCAGAGAGGAAAGCCCTGGAGAAAGAGAAAGAAGATCTAGAGAAGCAGAAAGAAGTTTACAAGCAAGACGCTAAAGAGGTGAGAGAGCAGTTTGAAGCACATGAAGAAAGAAGCAGAGGAGAGAAAGAGAGAAGCAGAAGAGCTAGAAACAGCAGAACAAAGAAGAGAGGAGGAAGACAGGATCAATGCAGAGATCAGGAAAGCCAACGAGGAGAAGATTGAAGCAGCAGAACGACAAAGGAGGAAAGAGGAGACAGACAAGAAAGCCGAAGCAATGAGACAAAAGGAGCAGGCAAAGAAGGCCCAGGAGGAGAAAGAGGCCCAGGAGAAGGCAGCACAGGAAAGGAAAGCACAGGAGGAGAAGGAAGCACAGGAAAGGAAAGCACAAGAGGAGAAGAAGAAGGCAAAGGAGAAGAAGGCACAAGAGGAGAAGGAAGCACAAGAAAGGAAGGCCCAAGAGGAGAAGGAAGCACAAGAGAGGAAAGCACAAGAGGAGAAGGAAGCACAGGAAAGGAAAGCACAGGAGGAGAAGGAAGCACAGGAGAAGGAAGATGAAAGGAACGAGGCAATCGCGAAGGAGAAGGCGAAGAAGCAAAGAGCAAAGCTAGAGGCCTATGAGGAAATGAGAAGAAAGGAGCAGGAAGCCCAAGAAGCGACGAAGGAAGAGAAGGAGAAGGCAAAGAAGGAGTTGAAGGAAGCACAGGAGCGAAAGACCCAGGCGGAAATTCAGGCAGAGAAGGAACGAGAAGGAATGAAGGAGATTGAAGTCGTTGAAGTTGAAGATTCAGGATCTGAAGATGGAAAGCCCACACTAGGAGCAGAAGGAAAGAAGGATGCAGAAGGCAATGTGTGGCAGATCCACAAAGGAGCATTGTGGGTCAGGATCAAAGGCCAGTGGTATGATCCAAACTGGTGGACAAAGAAAGGATACAAACCACCGCCTGACTGTGCAGAGTCGAGCGAAGAAGGAAAAGAAGAAGGAGGAGGAGCAGGAACAGAAGAAAGAAGAGAGCAAGGAGAAGAGCAGCCCCGAGAACCACCGCAGAGAGGAGAGAAAGGTAGCAAGAACGCAAAGGGCAGATGGAATGTGGTCACGTTCACAGATTGTGGTTGGATCTGGGAGTATTGCAAAGACACGAATGAGTATCGAGCAGTTCGGCTCGATCAGAAAGGATCAGCGCAGGTGAAAGGAGCGCAGATCAAAGGTGCCGAAGACTGGAACCTCGTGACCAAGCACTTCAAGAAGACAGGAAGGTGGGAGAGCCCCACAGAAATAAGAAGAGAGAGAGATGAGCCTGAGGTGCAGCAAGAAGGAAAGCGAGGAAGAAGAAGTCGAGAGCAAGAAGACTGGCAGCAAGAAAGTTGGCACCAGCAGCAGGACTGGTACGCCGACGACGGTTGGAGCCAGAACTACTGGGACGCAGACTACGCCTACTACCACTACGCCCCGAAAGGGAAGTACCAAGGCAAAGGGAAATGGAAGTATGGTGGTGGTGGCAAGAAAGGCTGGTAAGAAGAAGAAGCCAGCAAGAAGCATCGAGAAGGGTGACGACTGAACGCAGCGTGAAGCATGTATAGATTTTCTGAAGCTGTGTACATAGAAGTTCGAGCACCCCGAACATTGCACGAAGTACAAAGTAGGTACAACGAATGTTTTTGAATAAGCAAGGACCCCAATACGCCTTGTGATATTCACACGAGTTTCACCAAGAAGAAAGTAGTTTCACGAAGAGTTTCACGAAGCAGGACTAGGAGTGTAAGGTGCAGCCAGGTAGAGGCAAGAACAGTTGAAGAAAGAAGATGGTTAGGTAAAAGAGAAGACCACACAAGAGCCATAGGCTGGCCACAGGGCTGAGACTCACAAGATGAGGACTCTAAGACAAGCCCGTGTAACTAGAAATTCGAGGTTAGGAGTTTATGCATGTTTCAAGAAACAAAGCAGAAAGAACTGGGTAAAAGACCTTGGACTAGAGGAGACGAATGTCCCCAGTTCAGTACACTTGAAGTCCGAAACAGCTCTTCGTCTTTTGGCACAGCAGTGAGAATCACTGCAGGAAAGAGAACGCCCTAAAGCCTTCGATCTGTTCCGAGGCGGGGTGTTAAGTGTACAGCATGTATCCAGGTACAGTGAATGGGTGCAGTAGGAAAGACACCAAATGCCCTAAGGCGTGTTGAGTCTGAGCAGAACGAGTTTGACACCGGAGGCTTAGGCTCAAGAGTCGAAAGCGAGAAAAGTTGTTTTGCCTTTAGAGCGTGGTAGGAAAAGTGAGCCATGATGTTTACCACGTTTTTCAACAAGGAGAGTCGCCCGCGCCCATGGCTTCAGGAAGTCCCGTGCCTATCGGAACCGCCCACGATCCCGCTATGGAGGAGTACTGCTCCAGCTGGGCCCAGCGGGTCAACACCCATCGAGAGCGCATCGCCTTTCTGCAGGGCACGCCCGTGCACACGAGCCCGGACTGCCCGCCAAGAGGCCCTTACACGGGACACACTGGAGGCTTATGCTCTCCGGCAACACGCTTTGTGCCTTTTAGCCTCGATGGCCCACCGGAAGGTTCTGCGCCCACTGGATGCCCGACTACATTGCCGACAAGATCCTCACAGCCTGGCCCAGCGCCTTTCTTCGGATGCCCTTGCGCCCACTGGATGCCCAGGAGAGCCTCCCGCCTCCTCGTCTGACTTGCAGCACAAATTGCTCCTCGCGATGGACTTGTTGGTTTTTCAGCACAAACAGCTTCGCGCCCAGGACATATTGTCCCGCAGGCTCAGCCAACAGGCTGAGCACTTCAGGAGACACCTCTCGGTCTCCCAAACACGGCTCGATGCCGCCCATAATAACCTCAACCATGCCCTAAACGCTCTAGCCCGCCTCAGGATGACCCAGACTGCCTAGCCTCGGATTTCCTGGCCTATAAAATCCGAGCCGAAGCCGATTTTTTAAAGCCTTAATGCCACCTGCGAGCCAATGCCAATGCAGGCTAACATTGTTAGACGTATGGCTACCCTGCCCTACAACGCCCATCTGGCCAGCCTCAAGACCTTCCGGATTCCTGCAGATAGGTGGGCTGAAGCCAATCCCCTAGCCCTGATTCGCCGAGAACCCATTGACCTAGAGCAAAGAGTCAACCGCCTAGAACGCACTTTGCCCCCATAGTCAACACCCCTGCCCTCGGCCCAGGTAACGACCCGCAGCTCATGTGGCTTCCAGCTCTCAGCCTCGCACCTCTCACTCCGACACATCAGCGAGCCCATGGCCGACCGTGCCTACACCGAGTGCCCTTGGAACACCGAGCCCTGGAGTTGCACGGAAGACAGCAGCGACTCCGGGCCGGATCCCACTGCGGCATCCGCCCACGACGCCTACGCCCACAGTTTCGCACTTGCCCAGGTTCGCCAGCCTCAGACACAGCCCATGCATGATGCCGCTCAGCAGCCCATGATGCTCAGGCCTAAAGCCCCTCCACCTCAGCATCTCCTGAGCAACGCAGCGCAAACGCTGCCGCCGCTGCCTGCCGGCCCACGACATCGTTCGGCCTCCGGCCACATGCCCGCCTTGCCCGCTCCGCCCTTTTGTGCCAGATACCAGAACCTCACATGCCGCCGACAATGTGCCCTGCACATGACGCCTCACGCCCACGTGTTTGCCCTGCATGGTCTGCCTGTGGCCGCCTTGCTGCCACCTCGAGTCCGCTTCCAGCACCTGGTCGGACTCAGCCGCCTTGCCTCGGCCATCTGGTTGTGCCTGACGCCTCAGTCCAGACACGCCTTCCACGCTGCCGATTGGCGGACTGCCTCAGACAGCCGCTGGTACTTCGCCGGCCTGCCCATGCCTGCCAGCAACGCCGACTCTGCCTCAGAGTACTGCACTAGCACATCTGCCTCGGATGTTTAAACGCCACTGCGCCTTGCAGACGCCCAGCCCAGTGCCTGTCCCAGACTTCCCCGCCCGAAGTGCCCCTGCCCCCATGCACAACCCTTGTCTCCGACCGAGGTTTTCCCACTTCATGACCTTCGATGACTGGCGCCTTTAGACAAGGACTCTGCCTCAGAGCCCCTTTGTTGCACATCTGCCTCAGATGTTCATGCCGCCAGCCTGCACATATGTCAGTCAGCCCAGTGCCTAGCTTAGCCAGCCGCCAGGTTCCTTTCTGTTTTGGCTTGCCAACCCGAGAAACCTTCTGTGCTGTGTTGCCCAGGTGTTGGACTACTTCGACTGGATCATGACGGACAAGGTTTTCGTCTACTTCATGCCCCTAGCCCAGAGGCGCGTACGATTGCCTTGTCTTGCATGTTGGTTTTGCCTCTTGTCAGTTGCATGTTCTGCCCGCTTTTTTGCAACTCCCAGTTTCTACACATGCCTCACACAGCGATTTCCTCTCGAGCGCCCAGCATTCGCCTTCTCAACTGCCGATTCAGCATCGCCATGTCCGGTGACAACGCAGCCACTCTTGCCCAGTTCTCTGCCATGTGGGCCGCGCTCGACGAGCCAGCCAGGCAGCGCCTACTGTCCAGCGTGCCTGCCCCATCCAGCTCCGCTCCTCCTGCAGTGCCTTCCACGCCCACAGCCAACACTGCCCAGGAGGCCCACGCAGCCGATGAGAGCCCCGCCAAGCCCACTACCAAAGCGCCACCTGAGATTGTCACTGGCGAAGCTTCACCCTCCCAGCCCATGCTCTCAGCCCAGCAAGCCCAGGAGCTCCAGGACCTCAAGGCCACCGCCTTGGCCCGCCGTCAGGGCACTCTGGACAGCGCCGCCCAGATTGCCCAAGAGCCCAGCACAGCCAAGTCCTCGGCCCAGCCCAGTGCTCCGTCGGGGGAAGCTGGATCCCGAATCGCCGGCACGATCTCACTTTCCTGGACCCCCTCACGGAATGCATCTGGACGCCAGGGCACCTGCGTGCAGCCTATGCCGCCCGTCAGCCCCTTCCCAGCCTTGTCTTCAAGAGAGACAGGCAACCAGTGCCCACAGCCTTCCTCGAGGCCTTAGCCCAGACCGTGCCCGGGGCCAGATCCCCGCAGACGCCTCCAAACGCGAAAGAGAGTCATGGGCCGACTGCCTCGATGAGGCCACAGCCGCATGTGCCGCATTCCATGCCGGCCCGCCTATCGCCCCGATCCAGACCTTGAGGAGCAGAGCCACCCGCCGCAGCCCACTCCTGCTCAGGCCAAGGAGGCGCCGCCCAAGGAGGTGCCCGTAAACCCAATAGACCGCAGTAGACAAAATTTTGTCTACATAGTTAAAAACAAAATTTTGTCTACAGTAGACAAAAACATTTGCCTACAATAGACAAATTTTTGTCTACACGATTTGTCTATTCAGACAAAAATTTGTCGACAAAATTTGTCTACAGTAGACAAATTTTGGACAAAAAATTTGTCTACAGTAGACAAATTTTTGTCTACAATAGACAAATTGGGCGGGGGGCACAACCCGAAATTTCGACGAAGTTTCGGGTAAAGTTCGGGTTACCTTCTCCGGAGTTTCGCCGAAGTTTGTTCGAAGTTTGGAAGGGCCAAAGTCGAAGTTTGGAAGGGTCGAACTCGAAGTTTGAAGGTTTCAAATTCGAACTTTTCAAAGGGCTCGCAGGAAAAATCCGAAGTTTACCCAAAGTTTAACCCGAAGTTTACCCGAAGTTTAACCCGAAGTTTACCCGAAGTTTATCCGAAGTTTGGATAGACAAAAGTGACCAAGTTGTCTACGTAGACAAATTTTTTTGTCTATTTTTGATGCAAAATTTTGTTAAAAAAATTTGTCTACGTAGACAAATTTTTGTCTACAAAATTTGTCTACGTAGACAAATTTGCAGCATCATTTTGTCTATTTTTTTCAGCAGTAGACAAATTTTCAAATTTGTCTACGTAGACAAAAATTTGTCTACAGTAGACAAAGACAAAATTTTGTCTACAGCGGTCTATTGGGAAAGGCACCCCCTGCCAAGAATTGCCCAGACCTCGGCCTCTCCTTGCACTGGGAGGGCTGTCTGTGGTACAATTTCGACAGTTTGGGCCAGCCTCTGCCCCATGCCAAGGAGGTCGACTGGGACACTTTCTGGCTCACCTTTGAAAGTGATGGCTCACCTTTGAAAGTGAGCCCGCCTCTGGCCCAGGTGGCTCAGCCGCGGTGCCCTCGCCCGCGCAGCCCACTCCAGCTCCGCCTGGTGGCAACGCCGAGCCGCCCCAGACGACAGCCACTCCCCCTACCCAGCCTGCACCGGCGATGCCCAAGCCTAAAGCCGACCCACCCCAGCTGGGGCCCGCCCTCTCCTGCCTAGACATGGACAACTACCGCATTGAGAGGGATGCCAGGGGCCGGATTCTCATTCACCAGTGTGATTACGACGTACTGATGGCCCATGCTTACCGTGGCCTCGCCTCCGCCCGCTTCATGATGGACAATGAGTCCTTCACGGTCGTCTCGGGCCCATATGCTTTTGACAACCCGCCTACTGTGCCTCCGCCCACGAGAGAGCCAGCCCCTGCCCAGTCGACCGTGCCCCACGCCCACCGCCTCGGAGACCACGGCGGGCCCAAAAGACGAAGCTGACACTGACCTACTTGGCCTAAACTCCGAAGACGGGGATGCCAACAGGCCTCACGGGTCGAGTTTCCCCCCACCCCGGCCGCACAGATCGCTCCTTCAAGCCCAAAGCCCTGGCAGATCGACTCCAGCCCACTCCTCGACTGCTCATTGGCCAGCCGCCTGACAGTCGGTACAGAGGTTGTACCATTCTGCCCAGCACGTGCCCGACACCTTCAGGTTTGCCCAGCACGAAGCCCAGGTCTGCTATGTGGACCACAACAATCGCCTACGGTGCGCAAGGCCCTGCAACACCCCGCCCTATTGCCCATACGGCCTAGTCTGCGCCCAGCAGATGAACAGCCCAGACGAGGCCCATGAGCGACACCAATGCAGCAGGTGTCACGAATTCGACAAACACCTCGGTGTGGGGACATTTCCTCAGCCCATCCGGCCCATGAGCACGAGCCCACGCCTCGCTCATCGGTTCTGCCTAGATGGCCCACGCGCCTCTTTTTGCTCTTCACCCACATGCCCATGGGGCTCTTGGGTCACAAGCACCCTGCCTCTTTGCCCAGCCACGCCTAGTTCCGCCGAGGGGAAAACAAAGGGTGCCGCATTCGGACTCTCAGCCAGACTTGCACAGCCATGTTTCAGTGCTTGACGGTTTTTTCCCTTCTGCCCTGCCAGGTGAAGACCTTCTTCGACGACCTCGACCCGTCATCCGTGCGAGCCAAAACCCCCTTTTCCTGCACTTGCATGCACAGGTTGTTGCTGTGCCCTCATGCCATCACGGCCCGCTCGACTGCCTCCGCCCAACTCTGCTACACCCGCAGCCATTTTCTCAGGTCGCAGCACGCCATGTCTGAGCCACTCTTTAAGCCCAGGGTGTCCTGGAGCCCCGCCCTCAACAAGCGAGCCAAGGCGACCCACGCGGGTGAAGGTTCGGCCGCCCCTCTGCCCACCGAGCCATGCTCGTCGTCCGACGACGTGGAAAGGAGCTGGACGCATGCTACCTCCAGCCCGATGCCTTGTCGGTCTCTGAGGCTCTTTCCGCGCAGCCCTCACAAGACATCGCCATGCTGGCCCAGACGACAGCCCAGAGGCCTCGCTACCGCACGCACTTCTTTTTTTGGGAGGTCGTCAGCACTCACCCACCTGGCCCGAGCTGGGTGCCCTGCCAACAAGCTCCTGTCTCTGTCAACTCAGGGGAGCATGTTTTGCCCCTGAGCCTGCCCAAGCCCACGCACGCAAGCCAGTGCAAGCGCCTTGCCAGGTATCGACATTCACACCGCCTGCCAACCGCTGGCCTGCTCGCATCACAGTTGCGGCTCGATCTGGCCCACTCAAGCCGGCCCAGCAGGAGCCCTTAGGAGGCCTCCATCCTCCCGCGCACAGCAAGAAACTTCACATGCGTCTCCTTGTTGGGCACCCCATGCCGGTGCCTGACCCGAAGGCAGCCCCTGCGAGATTGTCATCCAAGAGGCCTACGCCTCTCTTGCCAGGTGCCCACGGCCCAGACCAGGGGCATGCAGAGCCTCTCGGCGATCTTTAACCTGAGTGTTTCATTCAAAGGCCTGGATGATTGCGTTGGCAGCGACAGCAGTGACTGCATTTGGGCTGTTCTGGCGAGCCAGGACAGGGGTCGTAGCATGGATTTGGGCGAGATCCGGCATATGTCTCTATTCTGGGCTTTGGATTCAATTGCAGCGTCGAGGAAGTCGGCGAGTTATGCCACTGACAGGTGGGCTAGGTTGGGCTGATGGGCTTGGAGAAATTGCATAAGCTGGGCGCATGCACCAAGGTAGGCCTCTAGGCTGGAGGCGGCGTAGGAGGCTATGGCCCGTAGGCGGTGCCTAGAGGGCTTGCTGAATGGCGCAGGTGTTGGCGGCCTTTCGGCCCCATGGCCTGTGTCGCAGCCTGGGAGGAGATTGTGCGCGACCCAGCCTCCGGCACGCAGCTGATACTGCGGCTCGGTGCTTCCCTCTTGGCATACCCAGCCTGCTTTTCGCTTCGGTGACCTCCGGCGCATCCGCCTGTCAAGCCTAAGCCTCACCGCCCACGCCCTCAGAGGTATTTGCTGCTCCACCAAAACGTCGCGCACAGGACAGCCGTTAGCCGTCGCGCTCACTGGCCTCGCTGGGAGACCAGTTGCAACCGATGCTGGTTAACCACAGAGCTCTTTTAGAAATCCGCTGCAAAGCCGGATTTCCTCCTGCCTACCCTGACAAACTGGGGCTCCCGGTCCCGCGGAACTTCCCTTTCAAGGGCCCCATGTCCTACGCCCAGGCTCTGCCCGCACTGCGCACCAGCACGACTCTCACCGGCACCAACGCCCCTCAAAATGCCGCACCCGCGGAAGCGCCCTCCTTCACTTTGCACAGCCTCAAGGTGGGCCTACTCAGCGCAGCCAAGCACAACGCCTACCTGAGGACGCCAAACGCACCGCCGGTCATCACAAAAGCAGCACAGAGCCCTACGGCCGTGATGACACGGTCGACAACCTTTGGGTGCAACCATGCATTGCCCACGAGGTGTCCCACGGTTGGCGCCCCTCCCGACCTATTCGCCCGGGGCGGGCAGGCCCCTACTCTAGTGCCCCCCTTGTCCACGCCCTTGGGGCCACCGCCCGACAGCCTAGCCTTTGCACATCTCGAGCCTCAACCAACACGTCTCCCATACCGCGGGGAACTCACACACATGCAATGCGCGCAGGACCGCCAGCCTGCGCAACGCCGATGCAGACTCTAGCCTCGAGTCCGCCTCTCTGATTCTTCCTCCAGCGAGGACCACAGCCCAAGACCGGCCCGTGGGCCCACTCATAGTCGTCCGCGGGCGGACGCCGACGACATCATTCTTGCTAATGGCCCATTGGAAGCAGTCCACTCTGCACAGGTGGACTCCGCCACTCACTGGCACACCGCCTGTGAGATACCCAAGGGGACGCGGGCCTGGTCCTGTCCGAGCCAACCCAGGACCGCATGTGCAGGCACAAGGCCTGCCGCCTTGCCGCCCTCAGAACCGCCCACATGGGGAGGGGAAAAGAAGTGCTTGCATAACCTGCCCCCCTAAGCCCTCGCCTCACTCTCTAGCCCCGCCGCCTGCCCCCCCTTGCACTGCCAGCCCGGCCTTTTCTGTGGTCACTCCTTTGCGCACGGGCCTTCCCAAGTGTCGACCGCCTATCGGCCTTTACCACAACACTGCCTGCAGGCTCAGCACAGCCCATCCCAGGGGGACCTGGACACGTCTGTCGAGGTCGCTAGCCCACACCGTGCCCTCGACACGTGCCATAAGAAACCCAAACAGCAGACACAAGCCCGGCCCAACCGGAAGACATTCAGCCCTCAGCCTCGGGCATGCCTTCTCACCCTTCCCAATGAATGGAGCGCCTGCCGCCCCGCCTGACACAAGAAGCCGTACAGGATATGGTCGACCAATTCAAGGCCCGTTATCCTGGTGAACTACTCGAC